ACGAGAGACCGGTATGAGTTACGACTGACCCCATAAATCGCGGCCAGGTCACTGGGTAATTGGCGGGCACCCAATTCTCGCACCCAATCAACACGCTGCGCCTACGATGACGTCAATCAGCGACTTACGCGGAAAATTAACCCTTATCGCATCGATTCTATTCGTCCATCGATCGCCAATTGCCGAATTCAAATTGAAATACCTTAAATATCTATCGAAATAATAAATAAATTCTTCCTTCTAAAATATAAAATGCCAATATTCAATGGCATCGACATTTTAACCCGTTCATTCGTGATATGAAAAAATCCCCAGTTTCCCTAAATAAATTCTCCAATCGCGTAAAGAATTTCAATTCAATAATTCGATTAATCAGATTTACACTGATTAACTAGAAAGAGAGAAAGATTATACGATCGACAAACAATGGCATCGACAGACAAGGATCGTCACCTCACGATCCTTCGAGCAGCAATTCCACGGTAACAATTCCAAAGCAGAAAGAAAGATACAGACTCTAAGAGCTAATCACACGAGCGTGCAATCAGTCTACTAATTAGCGGCGACGCGAGTGTTGCACGAGACCACCTGTCCATCCTTTGCCCGGTAGGTTAATAACGTTAGCGTGCACAGTGTCCGAGTGGCAATGTCTCTCGGACCATTATGAACCGCGAAACAACCTGAAACAATCATAGCGTGCCTCGTGTCCAGGATCGTTTTGTTTCCCGCGGATGGTGAGCTCGTTATGAAGTTAATCATGCCAAAGCTGGTGTTCGCGGTTCGCTTTAATCGTCGTTGTCATTGGATAATGCTCGAATCGAGTGAAGAGAGAAAGAGAGGAAGAGAAGAGATTCGCACCTGTTGAACCTCAACAGAGATTAACCGTGTTTCCAATTTGTTTATTGAATGAGAATTAAAAGAAACGACGTTAAAATTGATGAAAAGATAAGTTTCTTTGCGTAACTTAAACGTATTAATGATAACGATCCATTTATTGAGTTATGCTAATGAAATCGACGAAGGACTATAAATCATAAATGATTTGAAAATAATTTTAAGGATATTAATAATAGATTCTCGATGATTTCGAATGAATTTGAAACGCGATAGACTAATGATATATATAATATGAATATCCTTCGAACGATCATTGGAATGATTATCTTGCACCAGCTTTCAACGTGCCAATGACCTCCGTGAACTTTGAACGAAATTAAGTGGCGACCTCGGCGATCCTTGTAACATTTAAGCAAGACACGCACATTCCTGAAGCGGTTCCATTTTAGAAAGTCGTTTTCCTTTTTCCATTTCCTCGTCTCCTGTGTCGCCGGCATATCTACGGCCGAGAATCGATGGGCAACACGGTGAAATTGGCCGTGACACAACGATCGTTAAGCGCGGTTTAAGCGGTGTTTCATTAAGGCGGTTGAAACGGATAATCTCGATAAATTCAGGGGGACGCGATACCGAAAATGACCGGTTTCGGCCAATCCAAAGGCCGCTGGCCTCGCAGCAAGGAGAAGTTAGAAAGTCGTCGAAGATTCGTCGCGGTTGCACGATGGAAAAGAAGGGGAGCGGTGGCGATTCGTAGAAACAAAAAGGTTTCACCGTCTCCGGACGCTAAGTAATGGACGGTTAATTACGATCCGGTTCGAAATACGCCGGGATTCTCGATGGGATAGGACGGCTGAGAAAACCGTAAAACAGCGCGAGCCATTGTAGAATTCGCCAAACGACTTCCTGGTTTCTATGCGTTCACCGTTAATCGGTACGGTTTCAACGCGGGAACATCCCAACAATTGCGTCGATAAAAATGGACACGCAAACGATGCTTGTTAAAAACTAATATCTTGCGCGATTGAGACGTAGATGAAATGATTATCGCCATATATAAGTTTGGTTAATATTGATAAGAATTTTTAGAAACAAAAGATTCGAATGGAACGATTCGATTCCATCTATTATTCGATTTTTATTTCAATTTTATTTTCAATAATCGTAATTCCTCTATATCGCGAAGCTGATTTAATTCGGATGTTTTTATTGAAGATCGAGCAACGAATCATCCCAGTTGAAACGTAAATATGTTTGTACAAAGATTCATCGACCTAATCCCTGGCAATCTCGAAAGAATTCATTCCATTCTTCCCCTTTACATAACAAACGATTCAAACGAAAACGCAAAATCGAGTGTTTCCGGACACTGTTCGAAATTATACGAATCTGAAACGCCGCGATACCACGGCTACGCCAAGATACGTAAGTATACCACGATGCAATTTGCAGCCTCAATTTGTAGTTTGTACGCTTCTAATTTAAACTGCGGGTTTCGGCAATCTCCGTGTTTCTCATGACGACAATTCAACGAGCGAGCCTCCTCGACGATACCCACGTCCGGCAAATATCCTCGAAGCCTGCCAACCAGAACCGCAAAGCTGGCCTATTATTCCCCAATGACATCCTCATCTCTTTTCCCTCCTTCTTTTCGTAGTCGTCGTTGTCCTCTCCTTCCTGTTCTCTTCCCCGGTTCACGGAACACGGTTGTTCCAGCTGCAGCTGCGATCGCTGCGCGTAATGGAGGCTGCGAATTGTCAGAACGAAGCGACACGACCGCGTCTCGTTTATTGCAACCGAGTTCTAATCTTTCCCGTGGCTAGAAACAAGATTGTCCTGACCACGGTCGCGTATATAGGAGAAATAAAAAAACTTTGATCGTTCAGAGAGAGAGAGAGAGAG